TCGCCTGCATAAGACAGAGTCAAACCCTCATGAGACTGGGCAGTACGGCATTTCAGCCTCCTTGTGCGTCAGCTGCGAAGACACCCATTGGAGATGCTATTCCCTTCGAAACCCCAGCCTTACCTCCATATGTTCTGCCGACACGTTTTGGCTTTCAGATACCTCCACCAGCTGTCCTTCGCCAGCTGCTACCTCTCCAACAACAACTCTTTATGGCGAACCGGATCGGACGACCACCGCTGGTTTGATCGCTCCTGGGGTAACGTCCTCCGGTCCACTTCCCCCCCTCCCTCCCCACCAGATTAAAATTTTCTCAAGGAGAGGATGCCTCAAGTACCCGGTACATTCAACTGCGAGAAGTCAGAATTGAGTTTTTTTCCTGTCTTTCCGACACAAGTTTAAGACGCGATTTGCTTTACCCCCTTCTTGAAGACGTTCCTATTCTCTTCTTTTTCAACTTTTGAACAGTTCTCTCTCCCTCAAGCATATATTTGTCTGTTTGAAAGCTAATTAAACTCCCATTTTGGGGATGAAGTGTGTAGAGACCCTTCACAGTCTCCAGGAGTGGGTTCCGTGCGGAGATTAATGTCTGGGTGCATTTTCTGCTTCCTAAGCGATTGTTCTAACGGTAACACAGAGGCATCATTTGAAGTAATCCTGTCTCGTTGAATCAGGAATCAATATCGTGAAGGGCATCTGTCTTAACCCTGACGACAGGAACTGAGTTAGTGAAGTAGAGTAGGTCGGCTAACTCATGAAATGCCAACCGAAATTCTGAAAGATGTTTTCGACTCGTAAAGATTGATTAAGGAGGGTTGTAAAACTAATCATCATGTAGCATAATTCTGTAATAATTCAGTTATCTCGGAATGCCGGCTTTCGAACAAACTTCTTTCCGGTTACATGCAGAAACTATACTCTCCAAAAATGACTATTTACGTAGCATGAATTTCTCCCACTGATATCGATGCCCTTAAAAATTCAACTGTAGTTCATAGAAAACATGCATAAAAATATGTACTACTTTGCTCATTCGGTGGAAAATTACGTCTTCTTCCAATTTTATACTCAAAGGAAGTGTATAAATCGGTTTTCAAAAACTTCTAATTCCCGAATAATTTTAAACTCGACCTGCCGTTGCACTTGCATTCAGGGTTTTCAAACTACAAGTTGTGTATTTTTCGCGTACGAAAAAACACACATTTCTCAACGGTAATAAACGCGGACTTTATAGGTTTCATAAAATTTGGCAGTGAATTTGAGCCATATTGTTGACTTAACAAGTCACATTGGCAGATGCAGAGACATGACATTTTATGAGCGGCCTTCTCATGGTATTAAAAAATCACACAATTGAAAACTTTTTGGGACCGAATTATACCCTTCCTTCGAGTAAAAAAATTGGAAGAGAACGCAATTTTCTGCCGAACGAGCAAAAGAAGGAAAACTTCAATGCATGTTTTTAAGGGCATGGAAAAACAATGGGAGAAATTCCTGCTACGTAAGTAACTAAATTATTATAGAATTACGCTGTACGATGATTAGTTTTACAACCCTACTTAATTAACCTTTCCGAAACGAAGACGCATTACGGAATGTCGGTTGACATTTCATGAGTTAGCCCACCTACTGTACTCGCGAACGACTAGTCCTAAAGATCACACGACCAGGACTCTCGACAGTTGTGAATATCAGCTGCCGTATGCTGATGTCTTTTCCAAGCAGTTCCCAGACGGGTTGATGAGAGAGAGAGAAGGCAAGTTCCTGGAGCAACCTCTTTATTCTGCCAACTTGAGTAACTCGATCTCGAGCGTGAAAACCCACCTTACTTATTCGACTCCCAACGGTTCTAGAACATCGCTAACTCTTGCTTGGTGATCCTGCACCGGCCGTTTCTTCAGTAATAAGCCCTTTGTAGAAAAATCCCGAATGTTTAACCAGTCATCGATAGGGTTGCACGCGTGAGCAAAGACATCGCACTTGTTTGTTGCAGCACACGCTGATTGGCTAGTTCATTTCAGACGCGCAGTTCACAACCAGCTTGGCCTGGTATGCCTTCGTTGTCGCGTTATTCCCTCGCTCTGGGTAGAGACTCCATTCTCTCCTCGCCCTTCATAATACCCTTCCTCGTTTTGTTTGCAAATTCTGTAATATATTTACCCACACTGTTAGGAAATCTCCGAAAGCTGTCAAAATTTATCCGGGGAAAGGTCGAAGGCGCACACTTGGGTCTAAAGGCACTGAATGCACAGATAGGTCGTTTCTGGGTAACTTGCTGTCATCGGCTAGGAAGGTTAGGAAGGCCAGGTGTTTGAATCTGGCTTCATTTGGACGTGGGGCAATCCGCAAAGCTGATGGGCTGGCCCACGTACTATCGATTCTGATCTGGAATATTAAGCCCCACACGAGCGGCGTGCACCGATCGATTCATAATGCAGATATCGCGGATGCTTGAACAGTGACGAGTAGTCAGTAAGCGATTAGTACCAGGGACAGATACAAAAGGCGCTTCTCAAGCTCGCGTGTTGGAATTTGAGTGGACGATTTTAATAAACTGTCAAGGATGATAGATGACGTCCCGGGTGTCTAACTTTGACATAATATGACATCGAAATTTACAGTCCTCGATTAAGCGCCTAAAAAACTGGCCCGATATTTTATGTGATTTTAAATGGAAAGGATTATCTAGGTGGGGTTAGAAAACTATTCAATAGCGAGCAGACAGCATACATGTCCTTGCTTCGTAGTCTTTTGAATTTCGGATGATAATATTTGGTCATCCGTGTAACAGTTCGATCGTCGCAACTGATGATGTCCAACGTGTACTCCACAGCAGTTGAAGCAGGCATGACGACTTTCGCGTGAATCAGTTTGTATTCATGGCAGGTTTGTGCATGGAGGACTGGACAGCCATGTTCACGACCTGTATACCCAGCGGAGCATGAGTCTATTTACTGTCAGGCAACCAGGTGCCAGAGAACTGCCAACGCACACCAGGCTGCAAGGGCCATAATTTGCTGAACCTAGCATAGCAGACGCTTAATTTTCATAACGCTCAGACGGGTGAAATGCAGTCCTGCATTTAGACTGGGCCACCAACCATCAAAGATTAAGTAACCAGTCAGTCGTAGCCCAAGAGGCACTACCCATACGATACTTGGACCGGCGTTTCCGACGACGTCCACCGTATGCTCCACAGCAAGGTGGAACAGTCACGGGGACTTGTGCTCGAATTAGTTTATAGTGGTGGTAGACTTGCACAGCACCTACCGCACTCTCTCATCCTTTCCCATCCGGATCCAGTGTCAGGACAGAGGCAAGAAGACCAGTGGCGGGCGAGGGCGCAGGTGTTTGGCACGGCCGAGCCCACACCTTGGCGTTCCAATCCACACCCCTTGGTCAACTCAGCAAACGATCGGGATTTTAGCCAACAACGACAAAAGTGGCTGGCGCGACCGAAGTCACACCTAGGCGTGCCGTCACACCCTGGCTTGGATCCCACAGATTAGGAGTTTCACAAAAACCACACTAAGGAAGAGCTATTTCAGCCTGACTCTTAGATCACCAGTCGACCACTCCACACAAACACGCAACAGTGGACCAACTGAGAGGTCCAAGCTATCCCGTCAGTTGGCAACCTTTCAAGCCACGGCCTTTGGTGCGCCGGGATAGCTTTAAGCGCGTCGGATTTTTTGCATAGCGAGGAAAACGTGCTGAGTCGTTGACCCCACTCCCTCTTCCCATTCTCAGGCCCCGATCACTATCCGAGCCAGTCAGTTGACAGTTGCGTGGAAAAGGCGTGGTGGCTGCCGTATCTAGTGACCTTGTCTGCGCGCATCACATGC